CACTGCCATCGGGCGAGAGACGAGGTACCCAGCGAGTCACAGGGCAAAGAGACGGGCTACCGTTCACACTTAGTGATTCAGGCTGTGGGAGGAACCCACACAGGCCCTGACCAGATGGAGGACTCAAACCCAGGACCTTTGTCATATTTATTTAATTTTAAAAATGGTCTTCAGTTAACTGTTCCTGATATGAAGACATGAAAATGCAATTAGGTCCATATGTTTTTGTAAAATGTCTCTGTACAGCACCACAGTGGATTTTAATACAGCAACACTGTGATGCAGGTCAGACTTTCAGCTTTGATACAGGTCTCTGTTCTCAGGGGGGATAAAGCAACTGAACGACTGACTGGCAGCAGTTTCATTAAAACTGTTTTGTTTTTCTGATGACGTCTCTGAGGGCCTTACATTTAAAATTACAGTCAAACTTTATAAAATGCCTGCACTTCACTTACACTTTGATTGTTTGACTGAAATCTTACTTTGGTGGTGAGCAGAGGCAAAACTACAACAACTGCAACTCATTTTATCATTATTATTTAGTTATAGCTGACTCCTGTATGTGAACAAGTGTCTGGTTACATAAACTCAGAAAAGAGTTACAGCTCAAACATGGCCGTCGTCGCTGCGCTCCTGTAACTAAAAATGACACACCTGATGATGATGATGATGATGATGAAGATAGTGATGGTGAGATGGTCTCCTGCAGTCGATGGTTGGTCTGACGTTCAGGTTCAAGCTCAGGAGAACCCAAGATTAAGATGTCAGTGAATATACTAGAAAAAGAGTAAAAGTACTCAGTTACAGTAACTGAGTAAAATTACAAAATTACATTTAAGAAAAATGAAATATTTTTCTCTTAATAAAATAAAAGAGAAAATGTGATTTCATTATGAAGGTTGGAGTTTTAGTCAAAGAGGAATAAACAATCTGTAAACAGAAATTAAATGTTTAGACAGTTTCTGATTTTTCATTTTCCTGTTTTTGATCCGGTGTCACTGAAGTCAAATCCATTCATAGAAATGAGTGAAGTCCGTCAAAAGGAGCAGTGATCACTGGTCTAAATTAACTAAAAGATGGTTTTTAACCAAACTGCTTTAGAGTCATGGCCTGTGGTCACAGACATGTTACTTCCCCTTATAAGATTGGCAACCCTGTGAGGAAACACCTGCAACTTCTTTTTTCTGTCCCCAGAAAAAGAAAAATTGAGCTCCTTTAGTTTCTGTTTAAACCACAAACGGCTCAACCACAAACAGTAACGGTCACTTTGTGCAGCACAAAAACTTTAAAGGCAGTTATAGTATATAGTATACTAAATGGATGAAAATGTTAAATGTCGTATTTCAGACTCTCAGCTGTGTTGATATAATGAGTGAATGATTTGATCTTTTCACTGCCTGCTGTGTTTCCTCGACTCCTGAGCAAAGATAAAGAGTCAGTTCAGACCTGCAGTTGGTCCTCGTGGTGTTTGAACTTGAATTCAGCCTGATTTGTTTTTCATGTCTTCTCCTCCATCATCAGTTATCAGGAGAGCAGACAGTCAAAGTACAAGAATTCAAACAAACACAGAGATTCTACTTACAGAGCAGACACAGCACAGATGTTTCCTTCATCGTCCTTCTCACTCATTTGAGCTTTTTTTCATTTCTCTCACTGACACCAAGTAAAGCCCGCCCCCTTCCTCTGAGCACCAGCTTTCTATTGGTTCAAGGACAGTGAGGTGTCAGTGTGTGTGTGTGTGTGTGTCCCTCAGTGAGAGAGGCAGATATGAGCTGAAACACAGGAATCAAACCAGGGACGCTGCTGTTATGGAGCTGAACTGGAACCATTCAGACACTGAGGCCCTCTGAACACATTTTAATTACAGCTGTGCAGAGACACATGAACAGACCTGAACCTGAAATAAAAACTCTGCAGCATCAAACACAAACATCATGAAGGTTTTCTGCGGCCACTGAATGATGCTTCTGCTGTGTTCAGTCTGTGGTTGTAGTTTAACGTTTATTCTTTGCTTTCTGCATTAAAGCTGTGTGTGTGTTAGCAACAATCACACTAGTCAGATTTTCCATGTGACAGTTTTTTGAAACCCACAGAAGCACATGAAGAAAACCAGTGAAACCAGATCACTGACGGGAAACAAGAGCCAACAATCATGAATGAACTACAACAATTCCAACCAGTTACCGAGGACATGGGACATAGTAACATAACAAAATTTTGCATTTGAGTCATTTTGGTCTAGAAAGTGAAAAAAACAACATAAAAAATATGAAATATATAAAGAAATCTTCAAACATGTCCTGTGGTCTGAGGTGCTGGGGGGACCAGTTAGAAACCAGCAGCTGGACGTCAGTGGTTGGACTGGTGGACTACTTCAGTGAAGAGTAGACGACGTCTGGCTCTGGTTTAAAGTCTGAACACAAACACACACAGTTCAAACAATCTGATTCACGATTGTGCTTCACGACGTTCACAAGCTCTGTCTCCACTTTTTTCCCTCTCTGTTTAAATCTAACATGATATAACAGAAACTGAATCTTTACATCTGAAGTAGATTCACTCTTCTCATTTCCTGCTTCATATTTTTCATTTAAACCCTCTACTGCACACATTTTGACGGTACATGCTGAAAATTATTCAACATCTCACTAATTTTGGGTAATTATATTGCCAAAAGAAAAATGTTATATTTCAGAAATCCCCTAAAGAAATAACAGAGAAATTATAACTCACACATCATTACACAACTGTGGTTAAGGAATAAAAACATAAAAAAACACTTAAAACGCGTTTACTTATATAACATGATACAGACTCAGGTTTGAATAGTACAGTATCATGTCATACTGATTCTCATGGTTTGAGACATTGTTTTTATTCTGTGTGAAACTTTCCCAAAAAGTTCCTCTGTGCTGTAAAACAGATGTCCACTCAGGAACCCTGCACCATGCCCTGTTTGATTCACTTCACTTTTATTTGCATTGCCCCAAATCACAAGAACAATTGCCTCAAGGTGGTATATATTGTAATGTAATGACCATTCAACAATGTAGAGAAAACCCTGACAATTAGATGACTCCCTATAAGCAAGCACTTGGCTGCAGTAGGAAGGGAAAACTCCCTTTTCACAGGAAGAAAGCTCCAGCAGAACCGGACTCAGGGAGGGACGGCCATCTTCAGGACCAGCTGGGTGATGGGGTTGGTGAATATGTTGTTGGCCAGAGTGATATATTATATTATAATGTCTCAATCTGATTTTGAATGAGAACTCTGGGTCTCTGCTTCTTCCACTTCTCTTTACATATACCCCACTACTGTTTCATTCTCTCTTCTTGCTTTCCTTTTTGGATTTGGATTTGGACTTTGTGTAATTCCAAGTTTAGGACCACATTTCCACTTGGCCCAAGCTTGGTTGCACAGCAACCCAATGTAAATTTCACAACTGTGTGAATTGCTGTGTTTTGACACTGTGTAAATAAAATTGAACTGAACTGAAATAATCCAGCAATATTCCGAAACCCTGTTTTCTAGATTTACTGGGCAGGTACTGCTTGAATTTGCTCTTGCCCCTAATTGGCAACATTTGCTCATCCACACGTCTCTGGCGTAGAAAGCTGTTTCAACATCACGAGGATGTTGAAACACACACACACCCACAGGCACTCCCGCTACACACACCCCCAATACATTTCCCATCAGGCTTCACCCTTAAAGGACCAAGCTTCCTACATGTTATTGAACTTTTCCAAACACTCAGGTTGGTTGGCATCATTTAAGTTCACATGTACTGGATATGAGGCTTAAAGAAACTTTCTGTTGCCCTGGTGCAACGCTATGCTAATGAGAGCTTATTCTAGATGATCTAGTTTAATTTGGTTATATTAGCTTAGCTTAGCATGATTGCTGGAAACAGAGTAACAGCCACCTTGTTTCTGTTAAAAGGCAGCAAGACCTGGACGGCCTTGTTCTGATGGTTGTTTGTCCATTCCTGATGTCTTCAGCTCTTACTGCTGAGTAGACCACAGCTGTATCAGTCTCTGCAAAATGAAACAGAGTTGCTTTATCTGTCCATGTAGCCAGATAACACACACCAATTAGTTAAACTGCAGGAATGTCTTAAAGACATAAAGCCGTCCTTCAATGCACATATTAAACAAATATGTAGGACTGCTTTCTGAATGCATCTCTGAATGTTGAGAAACTGCAGTAGTCAGTATAACAGACATTTAACATAATCCCACTGGCCCCAGTCTTCATAATACTGGCCCCTAGCCTGGATAAACAGACACTTGCAACAGAAGTCTGAAAGTTCCTTCCCTGAATACCACATACAAAGTGAAATGCTGCAGGCGTTTAGTCCAGTAAAGTGCACACTTTCCATTGTTTGACTGGAGACACAACTACCAGTACATGTATGCATGTGGTGTACCAAAGCAAACATCTGGACTGAGACACAGATGTTTGCTTTTTATTTGGTTGATTTTGTTTCAAGTTTGTGCTGCACTCAGACCAAAATCCTGCTCTTTATCTTATATGATATATATATATATATATATATACATATATATATGTATATATGTATATATATATATCTTACATGAGCTCTACCAGAGCTGCTTTGTATTATTCACTGTTCAAAATGGTTCATCTTTATCTACAGCTGAAAGGCTGCTTAGTCTTGTGTGTGAGAGGAACATTTAAAGACAGAAAGGAAGTTGTTTAGCTGCTTCCTCTTTAGAGCAAATCTATACATGACTGTGCATGGTGCTGCTCATATCTCTTTAAAGGACAGGCTGGCTTTTAATATCATCCACAGGTCTGATCTAAGCTTGAACCTGAGTCATGATGTCACTCAGTGACTGCAATGAGAATTAAAGACTCTTTTAAAAGTTAAATGAGAAGAGCAACTGCACATCTCGGTCTGTTCTATCTGAACGCTGTTTGTTCATAACTGGTATGAACTGCATCACTCTCTGAAGAATTAAACATTTTAATTACTGCAGCACAGCTGTGTCAAAACACAGTTTTTAAAACTGCATCTTGCAGAGAGTGAGTGTTGAATTTAAAAAAATGCAGAAGCCATTCACACCTTTTTTCTTCTCTCAGCACCTCTGCTGTGAACCAATGAATGACCGACAGAACGGCCATGAGTTTGTGTGAACAGGAAGGTGGCGTCCACGAAGCTTCTTTCAGTGCAGCCTGAGAAGCCTCACCACAAGCTCGAAAAACCCGGTGCAGTGAGAATTCTCACCAGGTTCAGACTAACTGCGGTTGTCAGCAGCATGTTGCTTCTGTGTTTTACATGCAGAGCTTTAGAAATGAAGCTTTAACTAAAGAACCATTTGAGAGGCTGAAAACACACATTTGATGATCTTTGGCCTCTTTATGTGTCTCAACTCAACCACTTGTTTGTGAACCACATCTGGGCCTCATATGTGCCGCTACTGCACTGCCAAATACTCTGTGATCCAGATGTGGCCCAAAAATCATGATATTAAAGGTTAATAATTTAAAACCTGTATGACAATTAGCCATCCAGCATCACAGATGCTAACAGAGTATACTCTGTTAGCATCTGTGATGTGTTCAGATTGTTTTCTATAGGAAACAATCTGAACACATCCAGACTGGTTCATAAACGGTGGACCTACATCATTGTTCGCAACCACACGTGGTTCTAAGAAAATGTAGACAAGTCTCATTTGAATCAAACAACTCTGAGATATTTTATTCATGCTACAACACATCAGCGAGCTGCACTGTTGAACTGGCTGACACAGAACAGTGAACGCTGACTCACACACGTGTCAGTTGTCTTCTAACACACAAAAACATTTCCTGGACTGTGGGAGAAGCTGGAGTACCCGGAGAGAACCCACTCAGTCACAGGGAGAACACGCTAAGAAACTCCACACAGACAGAAGCAGTCAGCTGCTGGAATCAAACCCATCTACTGCACCACAGTGCAACACAGATGTCAGAATGTATTTACAAATGTGCTCAATGTTAAATTATTAAATGTTCTTACTTCCCAAAGAGTATAAAAAGAATGCTTCTCAAATCTGTAAAATCCATAAATATCACCTCTGCTTTGTTTTACTGGCACGACTGATGCTCTGCAGCTTTACCTTCATCTGCTGACATTTTCAAATTTAATAGCAAAAATATTTTACTGTAAAATCATCTAAATGGTCCTTTAATCTAAGAAAACGTCTACATTTGGAGACATTGAAGTGTGCGTAAAATGTAAATTTACAAAAGTCTGAGTCTCACCTTCAACTTTCCTCTCAACATCTTGTCTCACCAGCAGAACCAGTAACACCAGTAGAACCACAAGAAAGACTGATCCAACAGACAATACAGAGAAAACAGGAGGAAAGAGTGATGGAGGAGGTGTGGATGTAGGTGGAGGTGTGGATGTAGGTGGAGGTGTGGATGTAGGTGGAGGTGTGGTGGTGTGTTCCCCTAAAATAAAGCAAACACAGTCATTAAGTTGTCGTCACATTGTGAATGTTGAAAGCTGCAGAAACACAGACAGGTG